TTCATTTTAAGGAATTAGGGAAGTTAGAATTAAAAAGTTTCCACTACTTTTCAAAATTACCAGGAAAATAAAATAAAAAATGGGAATATTTACTCAAATAATCAAGTCTAATTTTGTCATTTGTTATAATTTTAAGTCGAATAGGTATAGATTTTTTCAAACACATAATTTAAAAATATTTTTGATCCATTTAAGCTTTTTTATATTGATTTTAATTAATACATTAGGTTCCACACAGGTTTTTCTTGTAGCAAATTAAAAAACTATCCAAAATACATTGTTAAATTTTTTTAAGTGTGTATTTTAAATTTATACAAAAATCATCAAAATCACAAAAAATTCTCAAATTATTTTATAGTGCATTAAATTTATAATTTTAAACCTTAGGTTTAGAAATTTAATATAAGGTTTTTCACAAGTCGTCCTAATCAAAAATTTGTATAAAAATATTTAGTTTAATCTGATTAATTTTTTATTAGAGTATGAATTTTAGAATTTTAAATTTGTAAGAGACTCTTCAATATTTAAAATCTATTATTTTTTAAACATAATAACATTATGTATATATTATAGACTCATACTTGGTCTCTACTCAGAATGATTTTTTCATGATAAGTAAAAAATAATGTATTATTGAATTAAATTTAATACATCTATATTATTAAAGCGACTTATTCAAACACCTACTATTATACAATACATCAATTAGTACCTATTTTTTATTTTACAACTAGACTTGATACTATTTATATTTATTAAATTTAGTTTTTATAAGATTTTTTTAGAAATGTTAAATGTATTTTTAAGCTATTATAGTTCAGTAACTTCACAGTTCTAATAATTATTACTCTGATTATAATTATGTACTATTACTATTTATGCTATAAGAATATAATTGCAAATAATGTGGTACCTATTACCTATCCATTTTAATATTTAAAATTTGTATTATAAATAGGTAATGAATAAAACTAGAGAAAGTTAATTTAATTAAAAAATAGAATGAACAAAATAGCACATATTTTACTAATTTAATATTATAGCCTATACATAGGCTATACTATAATATATAGGTAATACTTAAGGCAATTTTATTAAAAGATAATATAATTTATAAATTTGAAACAACTAACAAAAATAATATACCTGTAACAACATAAAAAACAATAATATAATATTGCACGGATATAAAACTTAAAAATGTGTAGGCATACACATTATAGGGTTAATTGATCAACATAATCATACAAGAATAATTATTTGACCAGATTTGCACCTATAAAATTAAAAATTTTAATAGTGAGGGCTTCACCAGCATGGTTTATGGAATAAATACATTAAATTAGGGATATAAAATATTACTTTTGGCAATTATGTTTAATAAAATCAGTAATTTTGAAACACAATGTAATTAGATATTATTATTACCCTAGTAATATTTCTTGAAAATATTATGTTAAATTTTATATAAATAAATAATTAATTTGAATAGAGATTAGAGGAAAAATTATTTTATTTCATGAAAATAAAGGTTATTTATTAGAACTATAACCTGGTGCCTACAGATTTGTACAAACCAAAGAAAATAGTATAAACCAAATTATAATTGTTGAATTGTACTTTATAATAACTTAGGTATTTTTAAATAAATTATATGATGACTAACCAAGAGCTTGACATTGAATTATTTTTGTCTGTCCCTCGCCTATTACATTTTTAGTAGACGTTGGCTGCGTGATGAACCGAGGAGCCTGATAAGACTCTGTAAACATAAAACAACATAAAAATTAACTACCTAACTGTTTTGGGGTTGTAGTTGTTATAGGAACTTACGGCAATCACAATGAGTGATAGTGGACAGCAGCAAGACAACAGTGAAGACGAGCGCATAGGTCTTTTGTTTGCAAGATATGCGGTCATTTCTTTCTTCTTCTTCCATCGCGGGTCGGACGAACAAGAAAATCGCGTTAATCACACAACGAAACCAACCGAACTTGTAATAATATTATTAACCGTAACGAAAAACGGACGAAACTGCGATTCAGAAAATTCGACGACCACAAACACGTTAGAACACCTTTCCGTGTCCTACCCACTGTCGGAATTGCGGCATCCAAGACGACTGTTTCGGTATGTCACGCCACAAAGGCCAGCGACGGTGGACACCTGTTGCGGTGTTTCAAAAGCCATCGCGCGCGCAACGGCCGTTTGCGCGATCTAACGGTTTTTAGACGATCGGCGGTGTTGGAACGAGCGGGTGCGTTTATCAAACAACCCGATACGCGTGTAATAAATAAAAACAAAAATATTAATAATAAACAACAACAGTAATGGGCCGATAAAAATATCAGTGGTATAACAATAACAGATGACGAGACGGTGACGACACGGGTAGCGCAGCGGACGTAATAAAATAATATAATATATATAACGTTCCAGCGGTCGACTAAAGAATGCAGTCCTCCAGTGTATCGTGTTTGTGTAACACACGCACACGAGCGTCGGGAACACAGACGTGCGCGCGCAAGCGCATAAACGCGAAATTTGAAACAACCGTTCAGCTGCAGTGGGACTCGATCGTGATGGGGTCAGATACCTACAACTCTAGCGTCTACACGCTGTACTGCAATCATAGCAAGTTGGTATGAACCAAGGTTTACAGATATCAAATAATAACAAACCTTAATTACCGGGTTGAACAAGAATTATGATATCATTCATTGATTATAAGTACTCTATTACTACCTATAATGTTAAAAGATGAAGCAGCTGCTACATCCATTGTTTATTATGAACGTAGTGTTCATGATATTCACTATTTAGGGCAGGTTACATAAAGACTACTCTGTAATATGCAATAACGAACCTGTAACTTATATCGTTAACCATGGTTACCAGAAAAATTAAACCATTTTTTTTTTTTGATAAAACCAAACAAAAACAATTCTTATCATTATTTATAAAAGTAAATAAAAGTTATTTATTTCATATTTATATAAGAAATTTGAATTTCGAATATTTGTTACATTTTTAATATTTCATAGACGCCGACTATCGAAAATTTTAAAATATCATTTTTTAATGTAAATTTAATAATAAAAAAGTATTTTTAAGTAAAAAGTTTTGACGATAGAGAAAAATAAATGTTAATTGAATTAATTAATCTCAACAAACATATCATTGAAAACATTAAAGAATGTAAAACAAATTTAGTGAACAAAACATGACTACCTATGCTGGTTTGTCAGAAGAACTAATATTTAAATGATATAATTAAAATAAAAATTAAGGTGGGCAAATGGGTAACACTCAGTTGTACGAAAAGTACATAATTCTGAAAAAAGATCTTAACTATCATCTAATATTAGTAAATACATTATGAAATGATATATTTATAACTCTGTATTCAAAGCCAGCGCGAGCTATTTTGCCGCTTTGGACTAAATTATAAATGCCGCCCTATTAAAACTAAATAAATAAAAAATTAAATAATCATATGATACAAATTATGCAATAATATTGGTTTATCTAAAAATATTTATTTTCATAGTCATAATATTTTCGTCATAAACATAAAATTAAAGTATAAAATAGTCTTTACATAACACATAGATATAAATATACTATTAATATTAATACAATTATAAAATTGCAAAAGTTTTAGCTAAAATGCCGCCCATGGGTATTTAGACAAAAATTGGCGCCTTGGGCTATCGCCCAGGCCGTCCCTGCCTTCCGCCGGCCCTATCTGTATAAAAATAATTTATTTTATAAATAGATTTACTTATTAGTTAGATTAATTTAAGCTTTAAACGCTTATATGAAAAAAAGTTGCTTATGTATTTTTAAATTACAATAATATTACAACAGCTTAAAAATGGTCAAAATGTTTTAAAAATTTTACCACTTACAGAAAATGATAAAATAAACATTTGATAAAAATTTTAAGTACCTCCAGTAATTCGTTTTAGAATTACATAAAAAAAAATAAAAAACTGGTTTTAAGTTTTTTTTTTGGTTCTATTACTACGTTTACAAAATTGTTGGAATTTTTAATTTTACCCCCTAAAATACCAACTAGGTACAATTTTCTATCAGGAACATCCATTTAAGTTGAAAATCCAAACATTTTCTATAGTATAAAAAGTCTTAACAAAAAAAAAAAAAAAACACATTATTGTAAGATGTATAACATATATTTTAACTAATAAATAAATATATGTAAATACATATAATTCCGGGCCCTGGTTTAAGACATTAAAAATTATAAAGACTAAAATCATGATAAAATAAATTGTTAAGAAATTGTTCCGTTATTATCGACGCATAATTAAAAAAGGAGTAGAAATCTTCCATTGGTTGATGACATTATTTAATTTTCAGTAAAGTTACCACGATTTTATTTTTTAAATTTGCTAGATTAACTAGTGAATATTTGTAAATTATTATTTTAAAATATCCTCATAAAAAAAAAAAAAAAAAAAAATAAATAAGTAATAATACTCAAAAAGTAACTAAAAAAAAAATAATTATAACTGGTTTTATGCACTTTAAAGAACCGTAAAAATATATTATTTATTAAAATTGAAATAGCTTATATCAAGTTAATTTTTAATTTAGAACCATAATTGATACATTAAAATTATTTTAAAAAACTGGGCCTATCGCCGATTATGGTATTCAAAATAAGTGTTGTATTTAAAAAAAAAAAAAACATGGTTTATTAGACATTCGCATACTAAAATGATAAAATTTATGAAATTTATCTGAAATGTGTATTTATATATCATTAGCTTGTAAAAATAATTAGATTTATTCCATTAGGATCCTGCCAAGAAATTCAGTCTTCCCTAAATTGATAAACAATATGTATAATATGGAACTGATATCAAATCTAATTAATTAAAAATAAATATTTTTACACTTTATGCTATAGCTTAATTAAACAAATGTTTTAATAAGATTAAGAAAGTAATAATACTATATTTTTATATTTCTCATATTTATAGTTATATAATAACATAATCAATATACCTACATTAAAAATATTTCTTGGCAACAAACAATTTTCCAACCAATGATTGAACACAGCTTTTATGTATGATGCAAGGAGTATAGACCACCCACTACTACTCAATTCTATAAAAACGTTTCTCTAAGAAGTACTCTTAACAGTCTTAATGTAAAAATAATTTAAATTTATTATTCTAATATTTAAATAAAACCCAGGTTAAAAAATAAACCATAAAGTATTATTTTATTTAATATTACCTACTGTTCTAATATTTAATCTTTTATAGCATGCACAGTCATAGAAGTATATGAAAAAGTTGTTTTTCCTGTATTTGGACATATTTCAATCTTTTGTGTCTTACATATTTTTTCTTGAACATGTACGGTGTATCTGGCATGTAAGTGTTGTGGCAAATAATCATACACTCCATCTACTACTTTAAAGGTATCTATAAAAAACAAATAATAAACAAGATTAATAATCAAGAAAAAAAATTAATTTTACGTTGAAATGAAAATGATAGAAAACATTATTGATAAATACCTAGGTTATTCAAATAACTTAATACTATAACAGAAAATCCCCCTTTTTATATTTATACAATTTTAAGTCTTCAATAGAGAATGGACAGAACAGAAGTCACAATCTTTTTTTTTTTATAGAAGACCGAAATGACGAATCTGAAATATGCTTTGGTATCATAGGCCAAACGCCAAAAATGATTATACAAAGACAGAAAGATTACTACATTGGAATTTAAGGAAGATTTTTGTTGCTTGTAAATTTTGTCATTTAAGTTAATTCTTTATGAATTTCTTATTGAAAAAATTAATAAATTAAAAATAGTGTATTTTAAACAGTTTGGTTGGAGACCCCTAAAATAAAACATTGAGTATCATTTGATTATACATTAAGTTATGAACAGGTAGAAAACAAAATATACCTATAAGTTATTATAAAACTTTAAAAGAAAACTTATTTACTAAATTTCAATGAATCATTATTTTAGATTCTGTGATAAGAATTAAAGAAAATTCTGTTAAATAATAATCATAATAATAATGTATAAGTGTACAAATATAATGAAATGGTCATTTTTTAAGCAAATTTTAGGTTATTTGATAAGAAATCATTAATCACTATGGGTAAGATAGTATAGGAATTTGCATTTTTTATTAAGATTTACAGTATATAGCTTTTCGAGCACAAAATGTGATTTGGTCATCTAGAAATTAGAAGTTTTTATTTTGTATTTTTTTGTACTTTTTTTTAATTTGAAGTCATTTTTTCAATTTTAAGGGAATTTTTAATACTTTATTAAAATAAGGGTAATTAAAAAACAAAATTTTAAATAGATTTTTTTAATGGTTTTTATAAACTATTGTACAAACATATAAAGTTGCAACATTAAAATGAAATCGTAAACATATTTTCTAAAAATATTTTATATTTCAAAATATGAATCGTTAGTATAATATAAAATATACTCGTTGAACTAACCGAGCAATAATCGATAATAATATTCTATTACGTGTTATCTTCATCAATTAATTATTAAATTTAAGTTAAGTTGAAATTTAAATTTTAGTTTTACAATATTATTTTATTTCAAAATATATTAATTTTAAAACAAATAACACTGGCAATTATACCAGAAGATAAATTTATTTGTATACTTAAAAATATAAATTATTATTTATTAATTTATTGATGTAATTATTTTTTATTTTTTTTTTGAGCATTTAATGAGGTCATTTTTTCTTATTAATTCATTTTTTTTTTAATCATTTTTTAGGGTTTTTAGGTCATTTTTGAAGACTTTTTAGGTCATTAAAATCCTAGCGCTATAGTAATCACATATATAGAACTTATTGTTAATACCGATGTTATAAACGTTTGTCGATAAGGCCATATAATAATTTTTTAAGAAACTTTATTATTCATCAACTAAATATAATTAGATGTATTCAACAAAAAAAATTAATGTATTCATAAAAAATTGAAATAAAATACAATAAAGTGAGAATAATAGGTTCCTTTGATTAACTAAAAAATAATTTACATGATTTTTTAGTTTATACATATATACGTCTTTTATTTATAGAATAGTTGCATATATATATATATATATATATATATATATAAATTCAAATGATGTTTAGTGCATGCAATTAGATTTTAGATTTTATTTTAAGCCTTAATAATTAGATATGAAGAATAAGTAATTGTAAATAGTTAAAAATTTATGTTTAAAATGCTTTCAATAAGAAAATTCCGATAATTATAATTACCTAAAAATGATGATAAATCTGAAAAAGTATATTTCTTGACTTTTGATTCTAAATTAATTATTCGAAATCCAGCATTGATAAACATTTCTCTTATTTCATCTTGAGAATACAAATCATTCGGCATGTTTACATTCTGTTAATGATCATTTTAACACAGAATTATATATTGTAAGCACCGATCTACTAAGTAATTAAAATTTTACTAGTACAAAACTATTAGGATTTATTAAATCAATTGTGTTTATTACTTAATCTATCAAAATATAAGCTAGTCTACCAAGTTATACTCGGTAACTCACAAGTTCTAGTCGATCCTGATCATACATTTAAAAATTATAAACAAACCAATAAAAATTTGTTTCTGTTCATTTTATACCTATAAATTTATTTAAACGGAACAACAATCAGGGGATTAAGTTTTTCTTAATCAAGTATACAAATCACTTTATAAATAAATACAATTATGGGGTATTATTCTTTTAAAATATAAACAAGAAAAAAAAATAATAACATAAGTACTCACTTCAACATATTTTTGCCATTCTGCATCCAAAGATTTATACATTGGAATCGATGGATTGATTAACAAGAAGTCTAACAAAATTTCTCCACCATTTTTTAACATTGAATGTAGACTACGCAAGGAATCGGCTTTATTATGAACCCAGTGAAAACAGTAAAATGAAAATATTTTGTTAAATTTGTGCGAATAAAGAGAGCAATCATTGGCATTATCAATATCCAGAACTTTAAAATCTTTCTTAGAGCATCCATATGTTTTTTTTGCATATTCAATCATTTTGATTGATTTATCAACACCAACCTAAAAAGCAACATTTTTAAGTATAAATTATTTATAAAAATTTTTTAAAACCGCTTATACTTACCAACTGATCAATTTTATCCTTGAATAAAGGATAAAGAATATCTGTGGTTACATCGCCTGGTCCACATCCTATGTCTATAACTATTTCATTAGATGTCCAAACCATTTTTTGTATATATGTACTTGCGATATCCTCGTCATTCTTCCGTTGCATAGCATTATTTTTGATGTATTGCTCTGGGCAATGCATTTTAATAAACTAAATATTGTCTCATAGAACATTCTGTTTTATACTTGGTTCTATCTTGGTTATATAATCATATATTACTATTTTATTTCTTATATAATCTTAATAAATCAAATAAACATAAAAATTCTATTAAAAACACATTGTTTTAATAAAGAGATATGGTGTACCGATCTGTACATGCCATATGCTATTTAACCATTTATCGCATCTTTGTCGTCTAATATATTTGTTTTTGTGCGTCATAAGTGGTCTATCGCGTTTTTTTTTTTTGTCCCTATTTAAAATTAATATCGACAAAAATAACTATAAATATAAATGTAGAATTGTATAGTTTAAATAATAGTATGAAAAAAAAATCAATTTTTATAGATACGTAGTATATTTCATATGAAAATAATATCAAATGTAGAAAAAAAACTTTTACCTGTTTAAATATCAATTTTATGATTTAAACTTGTTTTAGAAGGTTATTTTATATACCATGTGTCTATTAATCTAAGATAATGCTAACCTTTATGTAACAGCAAGAAATTGAAAACGAGTAAAATATAGAACAGTGATTGGCAACCTCTTAGAAGTTTTGGAGCTGTATTCAGAAATTTTAAAATTTTAGTTGGTCATATTGGACAAAAATTCATTTTATATAATTAATAGTATATATTATTCCTAATAAACTTGTACTAACCTTTTCACTATTAGACAATAACTGTAAGCGGCTTAATATATTCACAAATAAAAGATTCACTGATGTTTTTACTACAAACTTATCTTGCATAACTGAAAGAAAGATAATCAAACTTTCAAGTTAAAATCCAGAGTGTTTATATGTAGGTATTATTATTAAAATGAAATCATTTTGTTGAAAATATGTTAAAACCTTTTTATATTATAATAAATAAATTTTTGACTATAGTAAATATCTTAAATATTTTACTTCGTGGACGTTTTGTGGGTTAACTCGTTTAATAATTTAAATTAAACATGTAAAGGTTTTAAATTAACAGTTTCAAAGAATCACATAATTATGTATAATAACTTCACATGCCATCCAACTAAACTATACGTTCACATTTTTTTAAATATTTAATTTTTTTCTATTAGATTGAGTATATTACATGTAGGAGCAAACCTAAACTATTATTTTAAGTTATGCTTCCTCGTATCATATAAATATTTTAAAAAAAAGTCGTTAACTATAGGTATTTCTTTTTTTTTTACTATCTTAGAAAATTAATCTTTTATAAATATTTATAAATATTATTCAAAAATCTTCCATCTTTAATATAACTCGTCATCACATAATATGAATCCATCAGTTTATGTATTAAAATCAATTTTAGATACTTTTATAGACCACCGTCCGTCGACTTTCCCGGTTTTTGAAAATACTTTATTTCTCGTGATTATCCTACGCAAAATGCGTATTGTACGGCGTAACAAATAGGCAATATAAGTACGTTATTGCGTCAAAAAATAACACCGATCAATCTCTTGTAAACCGTCATCTTATATTTTTTTCGTCAACAATAAAAACACTCGAAAGCTCATATACATTTATTATTGTATTATCATATAATTAATATTATATTTTATTAGAATTTTTTATAATTATTATCATTATCTTTTTATGCAAAACGATCAATACTTAATCCTACAAATTTTGAAATTCGCTAGGCCATAAAATATCATGTACAAATAATAACTAACTTTATTATATCAACGATTAATTATTATTAAACATATTAATACGATATCATAATAAATAATATTGATAAGACTTAACCATTTCCGTCATCGAAGTGTATATTATTACATAATAAAATCGTTTGATCAACACAGATATCAGCATAATTACAAGTATATTATTTATTAGTGTAATAAAATATAAATGTTACAGTTAAAACTGTCATTAAATAGCCATTTAAATTTTTTATTGATTAATGTGTAAATAATTTATAATATTTCGTATTTTATACATACTTAATATCGTTCATGAATAATGTACAAGCACTTAAAGTGATTCTTTCATATAATTGCAAATTGCAATAACATACGACATTCAGTGGCATAGCCAAAATTTTAAAAGGGCGAGGGGAAAATCCCATATACGAGAATAAGGTAAATAAAAATATTTTGAATTATTCTCAATAAACCATAATTTAATAAAAAAAATAAACACAAAATCATATCAACTTATCTGTGTTATATATTTTTTAAACATTTAAAATAAACTATATAAATACGTTGAAACGGCCAATAGGTAAGGGGCATGGCCCACTGACCCCCTTTTGCTACGCCATTATACAGATGTATGACATAATATGATATAAAATAAAAAAAATAGACTTCAACTTCTTTATTACATAATATTTTAATATGACTTATATATACATAATGCAATAATATAATGTTGATTCTTTTATCAAACAACTCAAAATCATTTAAAAAACTATTCATGTTTTAAAAATATTTTTACTATATATAATTTTAAGTCATTATAAAAAAAAAAGTTGTTGAAAAAATTATATTAATTAATATTTCTTAATGATATAGTTTTTAAGCTTATTATTTTATAACAACATATATTTTGAATTCCTTTTTCAAAGTAGATTATTTTGCATAGAACTTTATTTAATACATAAAAATCAAATTTTGGATGACTGGTATTTATAAATATCTAAAGTTTAAATGCGTAAAGTAGAAGAAGACCTCCTTGTACAAAATATTGATTTATTACTCCATACATCTAGTCTATACTTTATAGTCTATATTATATATAGAGTCTATATATTATATATTTAAATACTTAGAAGTTATACATTTATTAGTATATTCTGTTCAAAAATATAAAATTAAAAATGCATATTAATTTTCTTAAATAAGAGTGCCTCAAGTTAAATGAATCATTGAGATTACTCAGTGCAAAGTATAAACATAATAATATGAGACTATTTAAACTTATAACTGTATTATTATTACCGAATGATCAATAAATAAATAATGAACTAAATTATCAATTTATAAATAGTCAATGCAGACTTAAAATTATCTTCAAAAACATTATTAGTTTCTGAAATAATGAAAGTGTTTTAAGCTAAAAGAATTATAGTAGTAGTATTATAATTTATAACATATTGACTACCACTTCCTTAATTGCGTATACTGCTCTTGCTATCAACTATCGTATTTTTTTCTTAATCGATACTAACTAAACGTTTACCAATTGCGGCCGAAATACTTAATCTCGGTCATTACGTTCATTTCAGCACCTTTACTTAAACAATTCACTTTTATTTTTGGACATGTTCACTAAACTGGATTTAGTAAAAAGGTGTACATTATTATACCTAATATCTCTATTTATACTAAAGAACCCAAAACAATATATTTTTTTTATATAAGAAAATACAAAAAAAAGAAAAATATAATAATTTAAATAAATAGTACAAAAGCTTTAAATTTGAATATAATATATTAAGGTCTTATAAATAAATATATTATACTAACAATTTAAAAATATTAAAAATATGTATAGGTAGGATATTTTCATAAGCGTTTTAAATTCAAACTTCCACAAAACTTGCTTAAAAAAAATTTAAATTATTTTATAGTAAAAAATTAAAGTCAAGGCTCGAAAATTTAATTCAAGGTTTCTTATAAGTAGTTTTTGTTAAGACCGAAAAATCTAAGTATAACAATTGCGCTAAAATGACCTTTTTACCTATAAGAAATTTATCGATTGCGCAGTATGTCAATTCCGCAAAAATTTACTTTATATATTTATTCTGGTGACTATCAACTCCGCAAAACTTTTTTAAATATTGATTTTAACGCGAAGTATGTAACGGAGTATCCTCGCATCATAAAACGGCCCTTTTCAGGACCACCAATCAGGACAAAGCATTTGTTAAAGAACATCATTGTAGGGATGTAGCAGCGAATTTGAAACCCCTCGATTCACCCTACATTCCCAATAAGCACAAAATTGAATAAGGGAAGCTATGGTGGAAGTAAAAATATCGTACCCATAGCCACAAGTCCAAAAGTGAGCTTACAGGAACAAAATCCGTACCGACAGTAACCACAGCCACACACGGCGGCATACTCGTGGTTTACTAGTCGGTACAGATCACAATATATACATATACCGGGTATTTTTGGTCATTATTCACTTAGTCTTTAATCAACATTCTTACCTTCAAAACTACTAGAAGGAACGAAGACCCAATTAACGATCGGCGATCCACTATAACTACAGCTACCCATAGCCTTCGACGACCAACGGAACAGCCATAACAGTAATAACCGGCCGCGATCCAATCCAAGTCATAGTCGTCAAAATCCGCTGCCATATAGCCACGCCAGTCATCGTCGACAGTGTCGGCACAGCCAGCCGTCTAACACACGCCGACAGAACTGCGACGACTCCGCATCCCATACTAAGAGCCCAACGATGAACGTGTTCCGTTGACCCGACGCCGACACTGTCTTTCTATTTCTCCCCTTTCTAGCCACTTATTTGAGTTGTGTCAACACCCGGGTCCAGTATATCACAGTAGCCGCTTTCTGCGAGTCACGCGCCGTGTATACTGACCCCGTCCCTACGACAATTGTATACGCCAGTCCGTACCTCAACATTCTCTTTTTGTATTAATGTCCTAAACATCTACCCGCGACGATTCGTCTGTTTCGGCCGGCGATCACACTCATGACCCCGTTGCCCTGAAATTATATATATATGTGTAAATCATATTTATTCGAAATATAAGAAAAGACGTAACACTGTAAACAACGTGTTCTTATTTTGGACGCCGGTCCTTAGTGACCGTGCCGTCTCAAGTGATTATTTATGTAATAATTATATTGATAAAACATTAAAATTAAATCCAAAAATATGAGCATTGTCTTCAATTTTTTTTTAAAACGAACAACTAACAGTTGTAAATAGTTCCATTCAAAACTTAACACACAATACACCAAAGCACACCCAATTATAATAA